TTTTTTGTGGGATCAGGTTTGTCTTACTAGGATTGCAAACAACGTAACTAGGACACCTTAAAGCATTATCCACTCAAAGCTGAGAAATTCTAGAGAAAAAAAGAAAAAAAAACCCCACATTCTAAGAACACCGAATAAATGTTATGCTAACATAGGCTTTCTAAATTATTGTATTGTACTGGCTGCATTCCCCAGCGCAGAGCAAAATGTGTCAAATTCTATTTATTTTTATTGAATCCCACCTGCCTACCATTTCTCATATTTACTCAAAGAATACAGGAAAATTACAATATCTAAATACCAAAATTATTTTAATTTTCCCTTCAACAAGCATGATGAATGTACAAGGTCTTTAAGTTTCAAATATTACGACAGCTAATATTTTAATATAATTAAAGGCTTAAAAATGCACTAAAGAAATTAGTAATTCCCTGACAGCAGAGATGTTCTTGTATTAAGAAAACCATTGGAACAACCAACACAGAAACATTTGATTTAATTCTGAGATCTTTGAGGTGGCTCTTTCTCAAAGCATCTGCTATACATCAGACTGACGAACTGCTTTATCAACTACGCAGAGTGTATAGCGGTATTTTTAGCACAACCTCAAAAGCCCTGCCTGTTCTGCAGCATCGTTATGGGACACCAGCTAGGAGAAGGGCACAGCCACTCTGCGCAAGGGCCTACTACGAGGACAGGCTGTACAAGGAAAACTGTAAATGCCATGGCAAAAATAATCAAAAGCAAGAGCCCCGCAAACATCAGCATGGACCTGGCTTAGTATCCAGGACAAGAAAAAGCGACCGACATGCATGGAAGCAGAAACCATACAAACCCACATGTTTTATCTTAGCTTATCTCCATTGTTTTGGATTCAAGTTTTATTGATAAGTTTAAGAACTCAATATTTAAAACAGTCATGAATCTTATAGGTACTTCAGAAAATCCAGTGAGACCCAGCACAGCAAGTCAGTGTTGTTTTCCGTATTTTCCATGCTCTGAAAGTCACTGCCCTCATGGAATGGATGTGTTGCTGCTTGCTAACCAACTCTTACAAAACATTTCCAGCCTTGATGCAATGTCTTAGAAGTTCTGCTTCATCAAGACCAGCTGCAGGTTTAAGGAGCTTAACTCTGATATATCACTACTACATGACTGGCTATTTCGCCTATAGTTTACAAATGGAACCACAGACAAGCCTCCCCTCCAAAAACCACGAACCCCAGCTTTCTTTATACAAAACCAAAAAAAACCAGAGAAGACCTAAGGTTCTTGACAACACCAACACACACCATTTTCATGGAACGCAATTTACCATATCTTCAAAATTTCTGCAGTTCAGAATGAAAATGAGGTATAGATAAGAGTACCCTGAAATACAGACAGAATCACACAGAATCACAGAATGGCAGGGGTTGAAAGGGACCCCTGGGGGGCATCTAGTTCAACCCCCCCGATCCCCTGTGGGCAGCTTGTTCCAGTGCTCCATCACCCTCAGAGGGAAGAAGTTCTTCCTCATGTTCAGACGGAACTTCTTATGCTTCAGTTTGTGCCCGTTGCCCCTTGTCTGGTTGCTGGGCACCACTGAAAAGAGTTTGACCCCATCCTCCTGACACCCACCCTTGAGATGTTTGTTTCCACACTGTGGAATTTTGGATTTAAGTGCTGATGTATTTACACACATTCAGTAGTAAGACCTAACACTCCATCACTGTCTACCTTTGATTTAGCACATCAAGAGAACTTCACTAGTAAAATTAGGACCCCTACAAAATGCTGAGCACTACCAGCCTCCAACATTCTTACTTCCCTGTTCATTACAGACATCCCACGGTGCTGTGGTTTGCAACATCCAAATAACATGCATTCTTAGCAGTGACATCAGGAGCAGCAAACAGCTCTCCTGACGCTGTCAGATCGGGAGCCTGAATCTTTGCAAATTCCAACTGTAAGTTAGATAATGGAGTGAGGTAGAAAGAGTTTCAACGCTGTATGTACCAACCTGCAAAACTCCAGGAGCTCTGATTTCATATTGAACTTTCTATCACTAGGATCAATGGAAGGACTATGCACCAAGAAACGCTTTAACTGATTTTCTTTTTTAAAGGAATGGAACTGCTTCCATATATTCTTCAGATTCTCTCTCGCCCTGCCAGTCTGGCAGCTCTCAGCTAAGAGCAGACAACTATCTTACTGGAAAAAAAAAAAAAAAAGCAGCGAGATTTCCATTCATGTGTTGCCTGCATGCTGGATTTCCGATTTCCCATCTTTTCTTCTACCAAAATAAAAGCAGTGAGAGTCTTCAGGAACAGAATGTTTCAAAGCAGCAGACACTAAAGGTGAACTGCAGAAAAACAGACTTGAAGAAATAGTTAGGAAAAGAACTACTGAGAAAGAGCTGCACTGAAGAACAGGCGACACGCAGCAGCAGAGTTCATGCACATTTCTCAAAACGTCATTTTCACCTCTTTTCTTCCTCCTTGGTTCATCACCAGTATCAAAGAGCAACAGATCGTGCAGCAGCCGTCTCCCAGGCACTGCCGAAAGGCAGGCTGCTCAGCACGCCAGCCCCAGCAGCCTCGGGGAGACGCGAGCTCGCAGGGGTGCAAGCAACATGCAAACTCCTCTCCGAGCCTGGAAGGACCAGGAAGATTTTTCAGCCTAAATAAAGCAGCGGATTGAAAGTGATGACTGATTACAGTCTGATGATCAGAGCATGTGAAAAAAGACAGTTGCCGTTTGGGTCTATTTCTATCTCACAATATTTCATCTCTGTTTATTTAGCAGAGAAAGGATTACAATACCGCTCTACTTACAAATCAACATTACATCCAGAAGAAAACCACATTATGATTATCTTAAAAATAACCAGCAAGTCGTATTTGACCTTTAAAGTAAATTATTGTATAACTGGAAGACACTGTTCAAAAGTGAGTAACTGTGTGATGTTGCAGGCTACAGTTACGTTAAAAACATTCATAAAAGCAAACACTGCTATTATAGTACGCACCACTCTTCTTGGGTGGCTAAAGGATTTGGCCCTGTGCCTCATGTTGCATTCAGTTCCTAGTAAGCAGCAGGGTAGGAGTTCACAGGCACTCAGCACGGGCCCACGTCTGCACCCACTGCACGGCTCTGAGCTCACGCTGCCTTTGCTTACAGCAGAAGGTGAGGGTGAGCCCTAGGGCTTCTCCAAGTCCTGTCCTTCATAGAAAAAAACACAAGT